GGATGGATATGAAAGCGGCTTATATGTTGAGATGAACTTCATTTACAAAGGTATTCTTTCAATTTTCTTAACTGTTGCATGAATTGAAATCTCTTAAATTCTCTAAATGCTTGTTTTTTTTTTTTTAAAGAAAGTGCCATTTTATCATACATTTATCTTCTTTACCTTGAATTTTTATGTCTTGTTAAATTTGTACAGTTTTTTTGACATCTTGGGAGAGCGACAATTCTATTTAGCTCATCAACCAATGAATAAAGCATTAAGCATTCTGCAGCCACAGTTCATCGATATGACAAACTAGGTTAGAAACATTCGTTCAATGATCTTTTTTCTCAGGATAATAAAAACTTTATGTTATGTTTCTATCTTAATGCTACATATCCATTTAATAATGTATAAATGCGAACTGAGAGAACATTTAATATCAAAAGCAATACTCCAGGTTAATTGCTTAATTTCTCAATCCCAGTCCACCCATTTTAGACAGTTCCCTAATCTCTACCATTATGAAATAGATCTTCTATTATATATTATTTTATTTTTCTTTTCATCTATTTTGTGCATGAAGTTGAACAAATTTAAAGGATTAATACATGGGAAGTATAATGATTATGGTGGTCATATTTAGTTATATTTAACAACATTTTTAAGTTTAAGCAATAAGATTAAAAATTTTCCATGTTTGCAATCTTGTATTGCATGGAGCTTTTTATACAGTTTCTCAAATGGTTTAAGCATCAAATAAGTCCCTCTGAGAGCAATTGTTTGAGCATAAAGTCCAACACCTTACAAGACAATAAAGGTTGAAAGTTTGGGGGCTTTGATAGTTTCAATAGCTATTAATTGTGTATAGACATTTCTCAAATTGCCATTATTATGGGGGCTTTGATTGTGATCTTTTGACAATAAAGGTTGCTGCAAAGATCTAGAATATTTTTCATTGTGCCATTTGAGGTTCATTTAGTTCATGGTTAAAAAAAAGTTTCTACATTGGATGCAACAACTATTTAGTCTCTGCACATATTTTCTGTAATCCCTAAAACTTTTAATACATATAACCATTGTTTTAACTCATCGAACGCTTGAAAGATGTATTCATTTGCTTTATCTCCAGAAGAAAGGGACATTCAAATCATCATTGTTAATACAGGTGGTGCCGCTCATTTACCAGTTTAATACGTTAAATTAATAAGAACAAAAATGAAACTATAGGAAATATACAAGCATATTTGTTAAATATATATATTGAGTTGATATCTCCCTGATTTTTTGAAGATCTAAAATGTTGTAGGCATTGTGGCTTCATTGACTCCCTTGGTTGTTATAAGAGTTCAAATTAGGACATCTTCATTAGATGGAGTCGACTCACTCATGTCTATTGTTAAGGTTAGTGATTAAATTTTTTACAATGTGGAATTCTTTTGTTAAAAATCAAGTAGGGACTATGAAAGTATCACTAATGCAGATTTTTTGCATTGGATTTATGGTTACCTTGCATTAAGTTAACAAATAAAAAATTTCATATGATTTTGGCTTTATGTGAGATTTCTTATTAAATGTGAAGAAAGAGGGATGAGGGAGAACATTTTTTTGTTAAACCCACATAAGGGCATTTGATTACTAAAAGTAATTACAAGCCTTAAAGAACATGCAGCTCTCTAAAATAACAAATTTTGAATAAAACCTACGAGTCGACATTCAACCTTTTACAAGAAAGCAAAAGAAAATAAGCCAACAAAATAAAGCTACCACAACATGAAAGGAAACCCAAATCTCCAAGCCAGCCAAAGCACTAGCAAAAGAAATCCAAAGGTCAAGTGCAACCAGTCGAAAGGACTCAATTTGGCAATCCTGCATCCATCAACTAGCAAGGAAATGACCATCCATTGGCATTAGAAAGCCACACCAACCAACTAGAAATCTGAGCATAGAGGAAACCACACTAACCACCATGGTTGCCAACTCCAAGCCAACCTAGGGATAAGCATAATTGTCTCATCATAGTCCAAACATCAACAGCAAAGCCATGCCAAAAAAATCACATTTTTTTTCTTAGATTTACTTTTAGATCTCTTTCCATCACCAGATGAAACAGATCGTCTAGCCATAAAGTTATACATATCTTGTATATTTTGAAATTTTTTTTCAATCTCATCAACCTCACCCTCAGACACATACAACTAATCATTATGATCCACATAAGACTTGCTCACAAACAACGCCAGACGGAGATTCAACTCCTCATTAGACACGATCGAAATAGGAATATCAACAAAAGTTTTCACCACGGCCAATTTAACTGAAAGATTACCAGCATCCCCAACCACAGAATCCAAGTAAAAATTCTTCCTCATCATCAACATCACTAAGGATAGGAGATGTAACCATGGTGGGGGAGATGGGGAAGAAGCATTATTCACCAAGCAACCAGCCACATTAGAATCAATACCCAAATTCCCAAATTGTTACAATTTCCCTCCTCAAGATACACCGCACAAACTACGGAATTCAAAACATTACCACCAATCACAGACCCAAAAATCAAAGTAGCTGGGCCCTCAGAGACCAGAGCCACCGGACTAATCTCACCGCCAACATCCATAGCTTCCACCGGAAGACAAACATCCCTCCTAGCCTCAGCCTCAGTAATATCCAATGAAGAAACCACCGCAATATTAATATTAGCAACGCCAGACGGGGTCACTAGCAGCACCACAGTAGATAGGTTTTGTTCAAGTTCAACAACCACAAGGGAATTAACTCCAACATCCGCCTCCTCCGCAGGCATAACTGGAGAAGCATTAACTACATTCACCTCAGGCAACTCGCACGGGACAGAAGAGGAACAAGAAGGGATTTAGTAACAGTATTAAGATGGGGATGTAAAATTCGACAATCCTCTTTCAAATGACCTAAAGAAATATAGTGCACACAATATTGAGGAAGATCATTTAAAATCATCGACTGAATATAACCCGAATTAGGCTAACCCACCCAAATCTTTTCCAAAAAAATTTTGGAGACATCCAATTCAACAAGGATGTGAGCAACTGATGGACGAGAACTAGAGGCAGTCTCAATATCGGTTTTCAAAGTCTGCCCGAACAAAGAACCCAACCCAAAGAGTATCCAAGGAGAGAAAAGATGAGGCCGAAGGTAAGAAAACGAAATCCAGATGGGCACGATAGGAGAATTTTCGAATGGCATCAATGAGGCCCTCCGACCGGGAAACATGTTGACCAAAGCGAATTCAAAAGGAGCAGCAAGCGATTTAATTTAAACCTCCGAAATCGACAATGCCCGCAAATCATGGTGAGAAGAAATTCTCAAATCGAGAAAAGGGACCGAACAAGAAGATGCCCTTAGACAAGGCATTTTTAAATGAAAGAACCAAAGAGGAACCATTCAAAATTCTCATGTCACGAAGCCGGGAAGGCGACATCAAAGCCAAAATAAAAAATAAAAATGAAACAAGCAGAACACCGAGAATAATGAGCTAGAGAAGATAGAGGGCTTCCCTAAGATCACCCACACAACAGCGAGCGCTGACAAGGGGAAAAAAATTCTAGCAGAGCAAACATCGCGATAAATAACCGGGATGAGGAGAACATGATGACATGTACAACCTAAGAACTTAGGATTCACAAAAATAAAAAGAGGATTCCAATTGTAGGCTTCAATACCAAAATTGATCTGACCACATCATACACAAATTGAATCTGAAGAGCATTCAGTTGGTATAATAAATAATTAAATTTCATTCATCAATGTTTCATCTGAATGGAAGAGTTTGTTGTGGTCCTATGACAAAAGAAATAGCAATGATTATTGAGTGAAAATTGATATTTTTGGGTGAGAAGGTCCTGAATTTAAGTAAAATAGGCATAAGTACAAAAGATTTCGCACCCTGAGCTCAACTTCTAACCTCTTATTTATAAGTTTGAGTTGGAGTTCAATACTATAGAAAATGCTACTAATTCAACTACATAAGTGAAAAATATATAGTAAGACTTAGCTTAATAGTTGGTTCCTGTAACATATATGAGATATACAACTTGTTTACATTTGAATAATTAATTTCAAGCTCTGAATCTTATTGTAAACCTAGTAAGAATCCAAGTTATGCAACTTGCCATTTTCCCCCAAGTATATATAAAAGAATAAGATATGATGCATAAATTTCAATGAGTTCATCGTTATGGGCTTGAGCAAATATTCATCAAAATTTAAAAGTAGATTGACTTACTGAAAATTGATATCTTAGATCAAACTTTATACTGCAATATTTCTCTTTTTTATTAAATTCACCTGTTAATCTATCTCTATTGTCATGAATGTTCTCACACATAATATGAATATTTATAGAAGTAAATAAAATTATCTTTCTCAAAGTAAATGATAAATTCTTTTAACATTAAAAGACATCGAAATTAACTAGGTAACAACATTTATTTTGAGTGAGATCTAGATAGGCACGATGTGGCTAAGGATGTGGAAAAGAGTGTGCTTGAACTCCACCACATCAGTTATGACATCGTACATATTCTGAATCTTGAATGTGGCGGTGGTTGAGTTACAGGATGAGATGATGGATGATATAGAACACAATTTCTAAAATGCTGATCACTACATTAAGGGCGGGACTAAGGATCTCAATTTTGTTAATACATACCAAAGGAGCAGCCACAAATGGTTCTGCATTACTATTATTCTTCTTCTTGTCCTTATCCTTGGAATAGCCACACTACAAGCAGAAGGACAAGAAGGAGAATAATGGCGCAATGCAGAGTCATTTGCGGCTGATCCTTGGTAAGTATTAGCAGAGTCGAGCTCCTTAATCCAGCCTTGATGTAGTGAGCGGAGTTCTAGAAATGAGGTTCAAAATCATCCATCTTCTCATCCTGGCAGGATGCTGCAAAGGATGCGGTGGAATTCAAGCAGATTATTTTTCACATTGTTTGTTTGCCGCATCGTACCTATACTGTACCTCATTCAAGTTCTCAGTAACCTTGCTCCGCCCACTTGAATAGATGGCTGTCCTTAGGATCTCCTCGCTCTTCCCTTCGGAAAACATCTTCTCCAACACCTCCTCGGAAGATACCTCCCGGCCTGGCACAGTTAACAGATGTTCCTTCGCTGCAACAGGGGAGACGACCATTGGCCGCGTTGGAGCGCTTCACGTCGTCGATGCGCCCTCTAATGCCTAGGGAGATCTTGACAACCTTCAAGATGTGTCTGTCGGCTGACATACTATCCTTGTTGGTGGCCTTGAGAAAAGCAAGAAGCTTGCGAATGGACGCCATTTCCTCCTCTAGCAGTTCCACCTCTTGGTAGAATACACGGAGGCTTTCGTCGGTCATTTGTCTTTCATCCTGGTTTTCGTCTCCACCACCGGCCTCTATGTCCTTCATCGCCTCCTTGTTGAGGTCCGCATAACTGAGGAAAGATCTTGTCACGAGGTTTTTCATGGCTGCGATCTGCGCCAAAGCTTAGACAGAAATCCTAAAATCGCTCTTCATGCCGTAAACCTCGTATTCCTCGGATTTACTAAATCTGGTGGAGTTCGGCGGATATACGAGATTTGGCCGGGGTAGAAAGATGGTTACCTCCGCAAAGAGCGAGCTCTCGTCGTTCCAAACCAACAGCAAGAAATCGCTCGAACTGTCAAGACTCCCGAAACAACAGGAACGAACGCCGTCAAAACAGTATTCGCAACTGTTAAAACCCTGCCGCGGACGAAGTAGCCGAACTGTAACTTGGTGAACAAATGGAGTACACGAAAAGCAAAACACTTCACAGGCCAAATATTATAAAAAAGTATAAGGAAGAGCTGGCTCTCGCAAGATGGCGCGCACTCTCTCTCTCTATCTCTCTCTCGGGGGTTAGAGAACTGATGCGGAGCAGTATTTTTTTTTTTTGGAATATTTGGGGCCACAGCCCGATTCATATAAATGAAAAAGAATTACAATAAGAAACTTGTAGCTACCACAACCTACCAGCAGCTATCAACAAAATCTTATCAGCAAAAAGCTGCAGAACAAAGAAAAGCTAAAGCCAGCTATCAGCCTAAGCTGCAGAAAAAAGAAAATAGCAGTAAGTAATGAAGAAAATAGCAGTAAGTAATGATGCTTAAAAAGAAAAACAGATAAGCAGAAAGGACTCAGTAAGCAACACTCATGAGAAGAGCAGGACTGTATACTATCTTATATCACTTGTGGGGGGAAATTATAAAAAACATATACTAATAAGATATTAGATTAAAATTAGAAAGTAGCGTAATTTTTAGTAAATATAAAAAAATATTACATTATATTTTTTCTAATTTTTCGTTATATTAGAAAGTAACTTAATTTTAAAAAATATTTATAAGTTTACTAAACCTTACGTTATATTTATTAAAATTGTGTTTAACATTTATTAGGGTTTATTATGAATTTCATATTAATTTATTACTAAAAAATATGATAAATTTATATTTATATAAAATATTACTTTCATTAAAATAAGATAAATTTAAAATAATGACATATTATGAATGAAAAATTATTTAAAAAGATGTATTTTTAAATTGATTATGATAAATTAAATTGTGTAATTTTTTGACAGATAATAACTTATTAAAAAAATTTCTTCTAAATTATTTATTAAAAAATAAGAAAGTGTATTTACATTTAAAATTTACATCTAGGTAGAGCGAGGGGTTCTATTTAGCTCATCAACAAATGATAAAAGCATTAAGCATTTCTGGAGCCACAGGGTATGACATATCAGGTCAAAAACAATTTTTTTTTCTCAGAATTATAAAAAATTTATGTTATATTCCTATCTTAATGCTACATATCTATTTAATAATGTAGAAACGCATAAACTTAAGAAAATGGTTGGAGTGCCAATTATTTTATTTCTTGAATAAATAATCGTAATAGCTATTGTGTAAAGGCAATTCTGAAATTGTCATTATTAAGGGCTATGATTATGATCTTCTAACAGTGATGGATGCTGCAGAGATATTGAATACTTTTCATGTGCCATTTGAGATTCGTTTAGCTCATGGTTTTAAAAAAATATTCCTACATTGATTGTAAAAGCTATTTACATCTCGGCATATATTTTATGTAATTCCTATAACTTTTAATGTAGATAACAATTGTATCAACCCAACCAGAAATTATTAGGTGCGGAGTACGGACGGGGAGAACTGTCCGCACAAGCCTTGTTCCGCTCTAGGTACCGGCACTCGGTACCGCTGGGTACTGCTAGGTACCCATGTTTGTGCGGACGGTGCACATTCCGCACCTAATAATTTTTCACTCATCGAACACCTGAAAAAAATTGTATTCTCGTGCTTTATTTGCAAGCGAAAGGGGCACTGAGATTACCATTGTTACCAGTTTAGTCTATTAAATTAATTAGAAAAAAAAACAAAACTCTATGAAATAAGCAAGCACATTTGTTAGATATATATTGAGTTGAAATCTCACTGATTTTTTGAAGATCTGAAATGTTGTAGGCATCGTGTCTTCATTGACTCTCTTGGCAATTATAGGAGTTCCAATTAGGACATCTTCGTTAGATGGAGTCAACTCATCACTTATGTTTATTGTTAAAGTTTGTGATTATTGTGAAATTCTTTTGCTAATAAGCAAGCAGTCAGTATGGAAGTAATCACTAATGAAGATTTTTTGCATTGGATTTATAGACTTATGTGAAGTTAAAAATATTTAGCAATAATAGGATTTAGTCATATTTAGCAATATTTAGCAATAATATTTGAAATATGGGTCCTGGCGATCATATATAATAAGCTTTTGAAGTATGGGTCCTGACGATCATATTTAGTCATATTTAGCAATATTTTTAACTTCAAGCAATAATATTTATAATGTTCCATTATTGTAATCCTATATTGAATGCAGCCTTTTATACACTTTCTCAAATGGTTTAAACATCAAATAAATCCCTATGAGAGCTTCTATTGGAGCATAAAGTCCATTTTAGAACCAGGGCTTCTCAGACATTTTATCAATGCCAAAAACTTGGGCTACCATGAGAAGCGATAGTCTTAGGAAAAAGTTTTTAAATGAATTAGATGTATTGAAATCTTCCTAATTGTTGGAGTGCCAGTTAATTTATTGCCTGTAAGTCTCATGCATTTCTTGAATCAATAATCATAATAACTGTTATGTACATACCTCTCAAATTGCAATTATTATAGGCTATGATTGTGATCTTTCGATAATGAAGGATGCTTTTCATGTGCCATTTCAGGTTCGTTAAGCTCATTGTTAAAAAAAGAAATGTTTCTACATTTGTTGTAAAAGCTATTAATGTCTCAACACATTTTTTTTTAATCTCCATAACTTTTAATGAAGATAACAATTGTTTCAACTCCACGAACGTCTAAAACGACTAAAAGAATGTATTTTTTTTCTTTATCTACAGAAGAGATGGGCATTCAGATCATCATTTACCAGCTTAGTCTGTTAAATTAATAAAAAAAAATGAAACTATAGAAAATGTGCAAGCATATTTGTTAGATATATATTGAGTTGATATCTCGCTGATTTTTGGAAGATCTGGAATGTTGTAGGCATTGCAGCTTCATTGAGTCCACTAGCTATTATAGGTGTTCCAATTAGGATACCTTCATTAGATGGAGTTGACTCACTTATGTTAAGGTTAGTGATTAAATTTATTTACAACCTGAAATTCTTTTGTTAATATTCAAGTCGGGACTATGGAAGTAATCACTAATGCAAATTTTTCACATTGGATTTATAGTTCACTTGAATCAAGTTAACTAAATAAAAAATTTCATATGATTTAGGATTTATGTGACGTAATTTTGATTAAACGTGAAGAAAGAGGGACGAGTCTGAGCATGATGATAGGTACAACCTAAGAACTTAGGATTGACTAAAATAAAAAGCAGATTTCAATAGCAAGCTTCAATGCCAAAATTGATGGGAAGGAACAACTTAGAGAGATCTGAGCACAACATACATAAATTAACTCTAAAGAGCACTCATTTGATATCAAAGAAGCATTGAATGTTCTGTTACAGTGTAATGAAGGAAGAAGTATATATATATATAAACTAAGTATCCTAGCTGCTTGAGAATATAACTCTGCTTCATAATTTACTTTCCTCATAGGTTCAAACAAGGGCTATAAATAAATAGAAAGACATGTTCAAAACCACTAATTTCTTATTTTTCTGATGATATATGGGCCTTATTCTTACACATTTGAGAAATATGCCAGATAAGAGATATGTGAGGCCTAAGAAAGTAGAAATATACCTATAAGCACCCAAACGACTGTCATGGTAGCTGACCATCACTAATATCTTTGGCTTCATTTGGGATAACTTTTGACGACTGTGTTTTATGCTCGAAATTTTTGTTAGGACAACTTTATCTTAGGCCACGATTGGATAGATGCAAAAGTTTGGATCAAAATTTCTATAAGAACCTTATAATCACTGTTATCTAATAGATTATATTGTTCTTGCTATTTGAATAATTTGAATATTCGGGTTAATCGTGCTTCACCAGTTAATTTGTGTGTTGAATCGGACAAGGCTGTGGAGGTGGGTCATAGCATCGATGAGGCTTGCTTGGTTGTTGAGGATGAAGCTGCTCCTGTTGGTAATGATATTCAGCTGGATTCTGTTTTGGCTTTGGTTGTTCTGGTTGAAGTTGAGGCAAAAGCTATGGTGGTGGGTCATAGTGTCAATGAGACTTCTGTGGTACGTGGTTGATGGAGCTGTTGATTTAAAGGCTGGTGTTGTTTATCTGCAGGCTCCTGATGCGAATGGTGTTGCTGTTAATGAGGCTGGCAATGTTAATGAGGTTATTGGTAATTCTGTGGGTGTTGGGGTTATTGATTCTGGCGCCTCCACTGTGTTTACTTTTAATACTTATGGTGATGATGATGATGAGGTGGAGGAAGCTAATGATGTGGTGGACGATTTTGTTATTGAGGGTCATGTTGTTGTGGCTTCTGTGGTTGTGGTGGAGTCGGGTGGCACCTCGGTTCCTTTAGTTGCTGGGGCATCAGATCTTTAGTGAAGATGGGCGATGAAGTTAAGTTGCCTCTGATTGATGTACCTATTTTAGTTGTTTCCAGTGATGATATGTTAGTGCATCTTGCTAGGGATAAATTTGTGCGACAAGATGACTGGTTAGATGATTATTATTCGTCTGCAGGCGGGGAGGAAATGAATGTGAAAGAATTGGATGATCAAGACAATTTTGACTTAAGTATTTTTCAAGTTACGAATAATGGGTTTTTCAAAGACTTTGGTAAGCCTAGAAAGCGCAAATATATATGTTTCTAGGCGTTTTTCTCCTGGTTTTGGTGTTTTTCTTGTTGGGCCGTGTTTGGGAGTTTCTTGGTGATGGCTTTTTATTTGATGCAGTGGATTTGGGTTTGGACTATGATGAAGCAGGTTTAATTCATGCAT